TACAGGCTTCCAGTTATGGAAAGAATAAATCGTGAAAATAAGAGGTATAGCATAGGGAATATAGCCAATGGTATTATAATAGCATTGCAGAGTGACAGTAACTACACTTGCAGTGAGCACAATGTAACACACAGACTTGTCAAATCACTACACAGTTCACCTGAAATTAATGTAACACTGTATGTCTAGCTCTTCTTCAATTAAAAAAAATTCAAGCCAAGAAATACACATTGTTTCATCATGTACTTAGGAGGGCTAACAGACTAAAGGGCCTTGAAAACCAAGTACAATTTCTTGTATTTATATGCCAAGAAACTTCTCAACATACAACACAAACAGGATTTCCTAAAAAGCTAAAAATGGTTAAAGTTCCCCAAGACTTCCTTTAAAATTTGCCCATACTTACACTCTGACAATTAAAAAAATCAACATTTTCAAGGCTTCCTGGCATTTTCTTTCTTTTTTTAAAGATGTTATTTATTTATTCATGAGAGACACAGGCAGAGGGAGAAGCAGGCTCCATGCAGGGAGCCTGATGTGGGACTCAATCCTGGGACCATGGGATCACGCCCTAAGCGAAAGGCAGAGGCTCAACCGCTGAGCCACCCAGGCGTCCCACTTCCTGGCATTTTCTAAAGCTAATTCATGAGTCCTAATGTTTTATACTTCATGAGATGCGTGCTGAGGAGGCAAAACAGGAGTTTGTGGTTTTGAAATGATAGGATCTTAGGGAAAGAAAGCAGAGATAGTGTCCTAAATAATATCATGCAGCACTGTAGCTGGTTTAGTAAATATTTACTGTTACTGTACAAGATTTGCTCATTAAAATACCTCAAAAAAGGTGTTCTTCCCTCTCAATCCAATATACAAGACAAAAAAAAAATCAGCACATTCACTGAAAATTAAGTCATCAATTTTGTTTCCCAGAAAAATCACAGTTGTTGGATAAACAGCAGCTGTCCAACAATTTATTTAGAAGCTATGCACAGTCCACCTGCAAACTTATCGGCTGAAGAACAGAACCTACTTTCTGTGTGGGTAATAGAACTCTCTGGGGTGCAGTCTCATCTGCTGCTAAAGGATCTCGTTGACTCCGGTGGACCAGGTGAAAAGATACAGCCTTCTTCTTTTCTATAAAAGGCTTTTTCTTCCTGTGAGGCTTCAAAGGAACAGAATGAGAACAAGCCATGAGAACAAAAATAAACAAACAAAAGGCAGCAACAAAACCATACTCCATATACGAACCTTCAGTAAGTTATGTGAAGGATCAACAGATTTTTAAAACTTCTATCTCTGTAGGAGGCAACATCAACAGTGTTCAACAAAACCTGTACTTACCTTCCTTCAATGTACATTTGAAGGCACTTTCACTCTGTGCCAAACTTGGTTATGGGCGCTGAGAATACAGCAATGAGAAGGTCAGAGTCCCTATTCTTACCAAGCAGATCATCCAAAACAAAAGGTTTTACGAAAATAAAACAGTGATATGCAAATGACTGAAAATTACTTTAGACTGCAGGGTCAGAGGAGGTCCCTGACAGGTTGAACCAGGATGGCAAACAGCCTGCCACAGGAAAATCTGGGGGAAAAGACCGTTTCAAGCAAGTTACACACCTGTTGCACCTATTGAATGAAACCTGGGCTACACAGCTCAAGTTAAGTGAGATCCGTCGTCTCTTTCTACACTCTTACTACCCTCCCCAGCCTTGACTTTCCAACCTGAGAAAGCATCATCCCAGGTTAAGTAAGCCGTTTTGTTTTGGCCCAACCTTAGGCTCTCCCTCAAGTTCCCTTTGCAAACACAGAGCAAACACAAGATGAGCAGACAACTGCCACTCCAACATCTTTAGAACCAGCCAACTCTCCCTCCTCCCGATTGCAAGAAGCCCAGGAGGGAGTGTCTGTGTCCAGCGCTGACATGGTTTCTAGGCCCCTCGGGATAAAGGGAAAGCCACTCTCTTCTTCCCACTCCCCAGCGACGCTCGGCTGCGGGAGACGCCTTGTGAACTGCAGAGTATGCCCAGAGGGGAGAGGGCGATCAGCCCGGGGCCCTGGGCCGCAAGCCGCCTCCCGCACCTCCGGGCCAGCCCTCCCAGCTCCTGCCCTCAGTCGCCACCGGCACTAGAGCAACCAGCCTGGCGCCGCCAAAACCAGAGCGCCCCGTCCCCGAGACAACGAGGCCTGCTCACCATGTTGCAGCCGCGCGGCGCTCGCTCACCCGGAGGAGAAGGACGACAGCACTCTCCGAGCCCCGGGGAAGCGACTCCGCAGCACACGCCAGCCGGCGAGGCCCCGCTCCCAGCCGCGTCCCTAGGCCGCTCCACACGTGCAAGCCCGGAATCCGGACAGGAAGTAAGGCGCGGACCGTGGAAAGGGGCCAATCGCCGAAGAGCTGGAGGGGCCGCGGCCGGAAGTTACCCAGAGCTCGCTCGGCCCAACGATCGCGAGAAGCTGTTGGGAGGCGGGGCTGTTGCCCCCGGGAGGGCGGGGCTTTCCCGGCCAAAATTAAGTGAAGTGGGAAAGCGCGGCGTAGGCGCGTTTGTGGCGGTGAGGCGCGAAAGAGGGGCTGGTGTTCCTGGGGGAGCTTGCTTTTGTAGCGCCCTCTACTGAGAACAGAGGTGACATCTAGTTATCCCCATGGACAGTTGTATCCCCTGCCTACTCCCGTGCGCGACACACACACGCCCACACACCTTAGGAAGGGGGCCACCCTCCCGGGTCCCGGGGGCTTCCGGTTCCGGGTCTGCGGGGCTGGCGCGGAGTTGGTTGCCGTAGCAACGGGAGGTCGGGCCCCCGCTCTTCGGGGCTGCCTCCTGCCTAATGAGGTCTTTGTTCCAAGGTCCGGTGAACAAAACCCTTGACGATCTGTTGACGGTAGAAGCATTTGAACTAATAAAATAGATTTGGAATCTCTTTGGTGTTTACATACCTTATAAGGAGGATATAAATGTTTATTTTCGTCCAAGTCGTCCGTCAAATGTTGTACCGTGTAAGCAGATAGGCTGTCATCACACCTGCTTAGGAGGATTTCAGGCAGGTGCTGGCGCATTCTCACAGCTTTCCCTGGGCAAAGGAGGTGGGAACGCGCTCATGGTTTTATCCGCAGATCTTTCCTCAAATTGGTGTTTCCCCTTCCCAATCTCTGGCGTCTTTACAACGTCTGAGTCATCTTGGATTGTCTTTATGTCCTCCTATTACCTCTATAAATATCTGTGGAATATCACTCTTTTATTACAATAAAACTTAAACGACCAATTTATTTTTTAGACATTTTATTTATTTATTTTTAAATTTATTTATGATACAAAGAGAGAGAGAGAGAGAGAGAGAGAGAGAGAGAGAGAGAGAGAGGGGCAGAGACACAGGCAGAGGGAGAAGCAGGCTCCATGCACCGGGAGCCCGACGTGGGACTGTGGGACTGTGGGACTCGATCCCGGGACTCCAGGATCGGGCCCTGGGCCAAAGGCAGGCGCTAAACCGCTGAGCCACCCAGGGATCCCCCCCTACAGCCCTTAAGCAACTAACTGCTAATCTACTTTCTGTCTCTGTAGATTGGCTTATTCTGGACATTTCAGATAAATGGAGTCATATGATATGTGATGTTTGTGACTGGCTTCGTTTATTTAGTATAATGTTTTGGTTTTTTTTTTTAGTATAATGTTTTTAAAGTTCATGTTGTAGCAGGTATGAGTACCTTATTTCTTTTTATGGCTGAATACTCTTCCATTGGTTTGTTTTTTTTTTTTTTAAGATTTTATTTATTTATTCATGAGAAACACACACACAGAGAGAGAGGCAGAGACACAGGCAGAGGGAGAAGCAGGCTCCATGCACCGGGAGCCCAACGTGGGATTTGATCCCGGGTCTCCAGGATCGCGCCCTGGGCCAAAGGCAGGCGCCAAACCGCTGCGCCACCCAGGGATCCCCTTAAACGACCCATTTAGATAAGGGCCACAGAAATTGTCTTGGGATAATGCTTTGTAACACAGGATACTTAACGCTCCTACGTGCGGGACGTCCAATATAAGCTTCATGAGGGCAGGTTTTGTTTTGTTTTGATCTGTTTTATTTACTAGTGTGTCTCTCTTTCTTCAGGTCCTAGGACAGTGCCTGGCACATATACTCAATAAATATTTGTTTCAATGAATTAATGTGCTGGCTCTTTACTTGAATTATTTCATGTCTTCCTTACCAAACACTATGAGAGTCACTATTATTATTTTCATTATCTTACTAAATACTAAATATTTAAATATTAATATTTAATACTAAATATTAAATTTAGTATTTACTAAAATACTAAAACCGACGTACAGGAAAGTTGAGTAACATTCTCAAGTTCACACAGATATTCAACGGCAGAGAATGGACTTATTTATTTATTTTTGTTTTTTATTTTTTTACCACCAATAAACAAGCATTTATTTGGAAATTTCCAACCTGCCAGAAGTGGCACTTGCCAAGCCCTGGGGTCCACCCTCCTACCAAGCTCCAAAGGGCAACATGGTCCTCCCCACCTCCCCCCTCACACCCCCTGCCCTCCACCGTGTGGAGCACACACCGGTGTACCTCAGGCCATGCCAGAGAACTGGAGTCCCCACCGAGGAGGCTCCACCACCTTGGGCTCAAGAGCTAGGGTGACAGCCCTCTAGCATCTGAGGAGATGATGGTGGCCAGAGCCGCTTGCATAGATTGAGGAAAGAAAATATGGAAGGAGGCACCAAACAGGACTCCCTGAAAACCCCAACTTACCCCTGTACAAAAATGTGGCTCCTGCATAGAAAAACCTGCTTCCCACATAGTGCAAATACCCAAAGGAAATGAAAAAACCAGCAGCAAGGCTGGGCTGGTAGGAATGGTGAAGAACTTTGGTTTACAAAGGCTAGGAAGAGTGTGAGCTGTGCTCCTCTTCCTCACCCAGCTCCCCAGAGCCAGCTCTCACACTGGCCCCAAGGGGGTCTGTAAACAAGCAAAGCCAGCAGGCCTGGTTCTGAAATGTCTCCATGCCAATATCAAAGTACAGCCTCCAGCGGACCTACTTGGGCCTGCCCGCCTGCAGGGAGCAGAGGAAGCATCTCTGGTGAACCCATTTAAAGCCAAAGTATGAAGTAAGTATAAGGCTTTGGGGACCAAGCAACAAAGAATCCTATCACTACATTTATGAAACTATAGCTGGGGAGCACAGGGTAATAGGACACAGCCGTCACCCCATCCTTAGCCTATGTGTCTGTGGCCCCAGAGAGTGGTCCCCTTCCAGGCAGAGGAGGGGTTCCCTGAGCGGTTAGGTCAAGCGGATTCCCAGCACCTGTTCCAGTTCTTGCCTTCGCTGCTGCACCTTGGCAAAGATGTGCCTCCCCACTGCTTCCTGGGCCCAGGGCTGGTGGTAGAAAGCAGCTCGTCTCTCCTCCTCAGGATTCCCAATCACATCAGTGATGATCTTGAGGTCTCGGCGCTGAGAATGGAACCATTCCTGGATGAAGTCCTGAGGGTCCGTGCTAAAGCTGAGCATGAAATCCCTCTGGGTCTTCAGCTGGTTGATGGACTCAATGGTCTCATGGATCTTGACATCGAGGGAGGCAATCTCCTGCTGACTGGTGGTAGAGGCCAGAAAATTGCTCATCTGGGCCTTGAGTGGGTCGTCTACCTCCACATCAATGTCGTAACATGCTGTCTTCTTCTGGTCATTAGGGTCTACGTTAATGACATGGTTGATGACAATGGGGTCTGGATGCTGCAGCAACCCAGCCAGCTTCATGGGAATCTCAGAGAAACAAAGTCGGCCACAACTGAAGATCTGGCGGAAGTAACGGTTGCAACTGATGTACTCGTGCTCGTGCCCGTCCTGCAGTTGGTTGTGTTTGATATAAAGCCAAAGAGCCTGCATGATGGCCGCCCTTGTCTGTGTGTGCACCCCCAGCAGCCTTGCCAGTCGGGGTTCCAGCTTGTACTGGGGAGGCTGATGATCTAGCATGAGCAGGAGGGTGCACTTGACGTTGAGGTCTCCAGGCCGTTTGACCTGGAAGCCATCAGTCTCCTGGGTGGTGGGCATCCGGTGCCACTCTACCAGGTGGTTGTCAGGCCCATATAACTCTTTGTCCAGCTCAATGACGAGCCTCTTAAAGAATGAAGAAAACTTCCTCTTCTGTTTGCTAGGATCATCCAGCAGTTTTCCCTCCACTCGGAGTTCCCAGGAAGCCACCTTGTCCCCTGCAGGGGTTCCCCCAGGGGGCCCCGCGGTGCCCGCAGTAACACCTTCTGCCTTGCTGGGACTGAACGTATTGGAAATATAGATGCGCAGCTTTCGTTTTCGCGTCAGAGGCTTTTTGATGGCCAGAGAATGGATTTAAACCTGAGTCTGACTAGAGCCCGACCACTTAACCATAATGCTTGGTGTTTTATTTATTTATTTTTTTAAGTTTGAGCAATATTCTTTTACTGTATATATTTACTGATCTAATACTAACATTAACACGCTGTATTCACTGTATTTGTTACGTCATTTAATTCCTTTGATAAACGTGTACTTAGATGACAATTAGCCTATCTTATAGAGGCTGAAGTTCAGAGCATTGAAGTGACTTGCCTAAGGTCACACAATAAAAGGAAAGTTTAGATGTGTAGCCCATCAGTCTGGTTAGGAAGGCCATATCCTTAACCATGTGCTGCACTGCCTCCATATGGCAGGTAACCAGCCAGCAAATTCTATCCATCCCACCTTTTTAAATATCCAAAGGTATCGCCTCATTAACGCTTTTATCAAATTTATCATTTTTAGTACTCCTATCCAATCATATCATTTCTCTGTATAAAACCTTGAGATGTCTACCTTCTGGCCTCAGGATAAAGTCCAAACTCATTTGCATGGCAGCCAACAGTTTCTATCATTTGGCCTGTATCCACCAACTTAGCATCATGTCTCCTTATCCCCCACCATTCTGGTAGGGCACCATTCTGACTCAGCCCTATCAAACTGTTTGCAGTTCCCCAATATACCTAAAAGAGATCGACTTTGCCATGCTCATCTAAAAATCTCTTGCTCTTGCCTCCCTGTTCTTCAAGTGTTAGCCTAGCCATTTCTGCCTCTAGGAAACTTACGCTCCTCAAAACTAGGGCCCAACCCAGATACTCTCGCTGTATGCTGTAATTAGCCTACGCAGTTATACCAATTGTAAAGCCATACTATTTTCATCTGTCTTTAGACTCAAACTGAAATAACCAACTTGAGGTCAAGAATTTTTGTCTTGCCTAATTTACTTCCCTAGGGCATAGCATAGCAAGGACTTATTAATAATTGTACTGTTCAAAGCACTTTACATATATTTACTCTTTAAATTCCTAAAGGAGGATTTAAGAGATTTACTACCGTTATCCTTTTGTTATATATAGATTAGAGACTGAGAAACAGTTAAGTGGAGTTTTGCCCGAGAACACAAAGCCATTAAGTGATGCAGCCAAAATGTGAACTCAGGTGTAGTTTGAGAGTCACACCCTTAACCATTACAATATACCCCATCTCAAAAAGCCAACACATATGGTGAGCTAACATGTGTTTGAGCCTGTTCTGAATGCTTTATATTTATTAACTCATTTAATATGTGTTGAATACAGTCTCTAGAACAATGCATTCATTAAAATGGTATATATATAAAACCCTGGCTCATCTTAACATAGAAAAACATTTCCTATAATTAAAATCACCCATAACTGGAATATTATAGTAATGATAATTAATGGAAACCATACTTCTAGAATATTATTAGTATGTTCTAATAAATGGCATCCATTTCAAAATGATTAAACAGAATTTTAATAAATTCGTTTTAATTAAGTTGATTTTAATTCCCGATTTAGTCTAGGTTTTGAAAATTTTTGTATTTTCCGTGTGAAATGAATTTGCCTTTTGAAACCATGTTTACCATCTTAGCACCATTTATATCACCTTCAGCAGTGGTTCTCCATCAGTATTGCTCAAGGACCCCCAGACCAGGAAACCAATGTACACAAAAGTGGAGTAAACTTGCTTAAATATAGCCAAGCTAACTAGACACTAAAGCAGTAACTAGAAATTATAAATTATATGCTTGACAATATTAATAGAGCTTATGGAGCTAGTTAATTTATAAAAAGGGAAAGAGCATCAAGATGGATGTAGCAGGATGTTCAATAGAGAATAATAAAGCAATTAAAATTCCACTAGTAAGGGATTAGTTGAAAATTTTTTTTACCGTGGTCTATTGTGAAGTTGTTCTAAGGAAGAGGCAGTTTGACACACACAGTCCCTTAGCCAGAAAAAAAAGCAGACCATAGAACACCGTGAAAATGGCATTATTTTATTAGTAATTATAAATAGAAAAACATTTTACAAAGAAATATCCTAGTGCAAGCACTGGAAAATACCAGTCAACTATGCACCAAACTGCCCATAGCAATTTTCCATGAGGAGTAGAGACAATAGGAGCTTTAGATGTCCATTATGTACAATTATAAACAATGGAAAAATATACAGCTATTGACATTGTTTTATATATTTTATTGTTTATATGTTTTTAGTGAGGATTTAAAAAATTTTACATTTGGTATCTAAAAAAAGTAAAGATACTTAAAAACCAAAATGTGTGCACCTGGCTGGCTTAGTCTATAGAGCATGAGTCTCTTGATCTCTGGATTGTGAGTTCGAACCAGCCATGTGGAGTGTAGAGATTAAAATAAAATCTTAAAAGACACCAAAAATAAAAACAAAGATGGGACAGATTAGATACTAATATCAGTTCAATACATATTGTTAAAGGATAATTTTTAAATGATAAATCCATGACTCCCATATATATGCACAAACTGAACACGTATAAAGATTTTATTTAAAACATCATTAATGAGGGTTACATAGCATGTTACAATTAGCTCAGAGGACCATCTAAAGAAGAGAAACATTTACAGAGAAGGAATATTGAGAAGAATGTGCAAATGGAGACAAAACTGGCTTCTTTCCCAGTGACCCAGGGAAGACAGTTGAACCTTTACTAGACAGAAACGTATGTGTCTGGAGACAAGAATTATTCGACATTACTGTCAGCTTTCTACAACTTACAAAGTTGTAAAATAGCTCAAAGGCAAGGAAAGGTGCATGGTCCTCATAAATCCAGAATTAGAAGGGTGTACTTGTCTGAAAATGAATCATTTTCCAATGAAACACAAACTTCCCCCTCTAATATTAAACAACAGCAGTAGTATGCTTGGTACACTAACCAAAATCAGACGGTGGTTTGTTCCACTTTCATGGTGTAACCTGAGGCAAATGGACTTCCACTTACCAGAATGTAAACTGGGAATGATAATATTATGAATGCTGACCTTTTAGGAATTATTGTTGGATTCAATGAGACAATATGTTTTAAATGCTGGGACCTGTGCCTGGCCCGTGTTTGTGCTCAGGGAAGGTTAGCTGTTGTTCACTTCCCAGGTAAGTGTAAGTATTGACCTAATTTCTTGGTTGCCTCAGGTTGGCCATCTCCTGAAACTAGGGCCCCCAGCACCTGGGGTTTGTCAGAGAATATGTGCTTTGGTTCAGATCAGATTCACATCATGGAATCTGTTAGCTTGCATTTTGACCCAACTTGTCAGCTTCTTCAATCTTAATCCTTCTGCTTTCCCTCAAATCCTGGTACCCTTTAGGTCCTTTATATTACATACTTAGATTATTTTACTAGCTTCTGGTCCCTGGTAATTGTACATTCTTTAAAGTTCCTTTTAGCAGCACAAACTCTTCATATTGCTGGGCCTTTTGTTTACTAACTCCTGTTCTTTGAGTCAAAAGTACATACATTTCATTGGTGAATATGCTTTGGAAATGTTAATCCAAATTATTTTTTTACTGTGCCTTTCTAGTTAAAACATGAATTTTGAGTTTTCTTTGGTATGTTTCAGTCATGCTCATTCTAGCTTTGGGCTATTAAAAGCTCACAAGTCATTATTAGTCTCCTTTCTTTTGAGTGACAATGACACTATTGAAACCATTGGCAACTTTGGTAATTAGATCATGATGAATTTAACTCTATGCTTTCAGTTACATGAGAAATGAGACTAACACCATTATATATTTTTAAAGTTTTTTTTTTAATTTTTTTTATTTATTTATGATAGTCACAGAGAGAGAGAGAGAGAGAGGCAGAGACATAGGCAGAGGGAGAAGCAGGCTCCATGCACCGGGAGCCTGATGTGGGACTCGATCCTGGGTCTCCAGGATCGCGCCCTGGGCCAAAGGCAGGCGCCAAACCGCTGCGCCACCCAGGGATCCCTATATTTTTAAAGTTTTATTTATTTGAAAGAGAGAAAGAGAGAGCATATGGGGTACAGAGGGTAAGAGGGAGAGGGAGAATCTCAAGCAGACCACCACCCCCACCTCGACCCGAGTGTGCAGCCTTTGGCAGGGCTCAATCTTACAACCCTGAGATTGTGACCCTGAGATCATGACCTGAGCTGAAATCAAGAGTCAGATGCTGAACTGACTGAACCACCCAGGCACCCCAAATTATCACTATTACTACTGAGTGATTATCCCTGCCATTCCATCAATGAAGTCATACTGGAAACGTGGGTGAGACATGGACCTCTAATTCCTCCATTACTGTGTTCCCTATGCTTGTGGTATGAGCATCTCATTGTGCTGAGTATAAGTCTTATGCTTAAAGGTAAGTTTTCTTTTGTTTTGTTTTGTTTTTTAACACCACATAGCACTTAAATGTAAACTAACTTCTTCATCCATGGCTGAATTAAAGAACCAGCCACATATTTCACTGTTGAAGTAAAAGTAGGTATTTGAGGCAATATATTTTCAAATATAATTTTTGCTTTACAACTTAAACCTCTAAATGAAGCACTACTGCATTTTACTTAAAATTGCTCCAGTAAAACCTAGTTAAATTAAAAAATATATACATCTTTCAAAGCACTCAGATGATGTGCAAATGAAATGATTTTACAGTCTTAAAGACAAAGTCAAGTAAAGAAAAAATAGTTTATTAAATTTTCATTGTAGTAATTAATTTAGTCATAATCTACATTATCTGTTGGGAGGTTTATTCATTTCCACAGCTTGTTACCTGTGCTAATGATCCTCAACTTCCTCTGTGTGGGCCAGACCTTTTACCTGACCTTTAGACTCATATATCCAACTGAGTACTATACATCTGTCTACATGTGGATGTCCCAACAGGCAGGCAACTCAAACCGAATTTCAAAATTAAATGCCTCACGTCTCCATACCTCTTACCTTCTCCTTCCTGGGATCCCTGCCTCCCACCCCCCAATCCTAAAACCTCACCTTCCTTCTTTCTATTT